GCGGGAACAAGAGAGCATGTAGGCAGCTATTGCTAGAGTCCGGCTGCCCTCATGGCACAATATTTACCATTAAAAGTGCAAGACTTTCATTTACCAAAGAATTCTCACTCCTTGTTCACCTTCAAGAGGGTTCATGAGGAAGAACAAAGTTTTGAAAAGCTTTAACGGTGTCCCCCTGCATGCATGGCAAAAACATTCTAGAGGAGTGGTGGCCTTTGTGGGACTCTCATCATGATCAATTGACAACTTGCCTATGTGCTCTGCGAATGCTCAGATGCCAGAGCTTGGAAAGGTATTCTCCCAAGCTACTCACCTTTGTCTAGCAATACTCTGCTATCACCAAATATTGAGCATTGAATGAAATTTTGGAAGACATTTGGTTGGGGGAGTCTAGTTCAGACATCCAATTCCCAGGGCTTTTTTTGGTGGCAGCTGATCAGAGTTGTCGTGACTCGGACGTTCTAGAATCTATGAGCGGTCACTCGTTATGGATTCCAAGATTTAGTAGGGACTCAATAATATAGAAATCTCAAATTTGGACATCCCTTAATGCCTATTTCCTCCCTGACTATAGCAGGGATAATATGTTACAGACTTTGGTCACATCGAGCCTTTTCTCGGTGGCATCCTTCTATAATGAAACCCAACAAGATGAATCAACCCATGCCATTGGTAGCAAGCCTGGTTTACCCCGACACCTCCAAAGCTCCAAGTCTTCAACTGGTTGGCTAATTCACTTAAGGGAAAAAACATATACCCCCCTCCCAAAAATTTATAATCCCAAATTACTCCCCATGCACAAATAATGAGGAGTTCATTTTACATTAGAATTAGGGCTTCTCGAGGCTCGAGGTACATTTTATTCTCTAAATAAAGGTTGGTTTAGTGTTTTAGTTGGAGAGTTGGATATTATTTTGTTTTGAGACTTTCAGTTAAACAAGATATAATTATGGAACTTGGCTTGTGAGCTTCCAATGCTATTTTCAATTCTATGATTTCTTTCTGTGAATTTTGCATTGCATTAGTTGGTATTAGAGTAGGTCTGTTTCGAAAGCGCCCGAGACACTGTAGTTTTCACGATGGCTACCAGAGGAGCCTAAACTGGTTATGGTAGTGGCGGTGTTGTCAAAGTTACATTGGAGGATCTCCAATAATTTAAGTGGAGAACTAAGGAACTGACATATGAGGTATGTTGAAATGCCTGAATTAAAGAAGTTCGAGGACCTGAAGCACGATGTACATCCAAACCTCTCTAATTGGTGTTAAGTCGTTCATGACAATAGTAGATGTGAATTCAATCACAATTATGGATCAAGTTCAACAGATTTCAATCCTCGTGACAACCAAGGGAGTAATCTTGACAAGTCTGGGGATATTTTGGTTTGTGACCTTCAAGAGATAAACTGTGGAGAAACTTTATTCTTGTCAGTTTCTTTCCAAAATCAATCTTTGACATATGATCAGAGAAGGATCTAGATTTCTTCATCATCATCATCAGAGCCTTTTTCCAACTATATGGGTTTGGCTACACGAATCCTGGTCTGTCATTCTACTCTATCAAGGGCAGACCTTTAGAGTGAGGTCATTAGTCCCCATATCTTTTCTTACTACTTTCAAACATGTCCTTTTGGGCATTCCCCTTACCCTTTTTGAGCCTTCTAATTGAACCAACTCGCACATTATAACAAGTGTTGTATTGGGTATACATTGCACATGACCAGCCCTCCTAACTCTACTTTCTCATCTTATCGCCTATTGGAGCCACACTTACGTACTCCCCATTGTATTCATTTTCAAATTTTATCCCTTCTTGCCTTTCCACTTATCCATCTCAACATCCTCATCGCAGCTTCACTCATCGTATGGATATGATGTTTCTTGACCACACATCATTCCACCCCATAAAGCAGAGCTGGTCTCACAGTTGTCCTGTAGCACTTCTTTTTCAGCTTCATTGATATGCGACGATTACATAAAACTCAGGTTGAACATTCCGCTTCGTCCACCCAACTATAATTCTATGTGTGACATCTTCCCCAATCTCTCCATTTTCTTGATTATTGACTCAAGATATCAAAAGTGCGCTCTTTTGTGTATTTCTTGGCCAGTGCACTCTTTTTTGTATTTCTTGGCCATCACTCTTAACTGCTTCGTCGTCTCTACTCCTATTATTACTAAACTTGCATTTCATATGTTCTGTCTTAGTCCGGATAATTTTAAAACTTTTAGATTCTAGAGCATCCCTCTAAAATTCTAACTTTGTGTTGACGCCGATTTGGGCCTTATTGATCAAAATGTACACTTTCCTACAAAGTACAATTTCAGAAAATGGTGTTATGGCGATGGTGTGGTGAAGAGGTGACACGATTTTGCAAATGAAAAGTATAACGAATAACAAGATCTTGTGGGGGAAGTGATCTTCAATGAGGAACTAGATTAAGGACTAGAAACTTCAAAGGAGATGGCAGTGGGCAATGCTACAATATTAGGGTTAGGGTATGACACCCATTATCTCTAAACAAGTGAAGATGATTCCATTGATGAAGCTTTGGAGGCCATGAGTGACGTGACAGTAGTTGGTCAATCAATTAGAGGTTCAGTGGAAGGTAGCATGATTGGAGGTGAAGAAATATGGGACACCAAGTCCAATGGAGGCGACACCGGGAGGAGGTCAAACAGATTGAGTGAGAAGATCATGCTAGATATTCCTGAAACCAAATACATGAAGAAGTTGGAGAAGCATGTTCAAGACTGGGCACAAGTTTGGAGAGGAGGCGAAGGGCATCCCAAACTAGAAAAGCCCTCCCCTGACGAGCTGGGAGAACTTGAAATGCCAAAAGATGATAATGGGGCATCATGAAATCTCAAATTCTCTAGAGTTTCTGCTAATGAGTTTTCCATAAAAAGTGTCATGCCTGCCAAGTAATTGATGGTATTTCCCTTGATACTGGGATCCAGATGCTACACAAGGTGATTTTAAGTGTTGTACATTCCGACAGCCATTTCATTTCTCTTGTAACTCAAAATCACTGTTATTGGTACTCATTGGGAAGCTATTTCACAGCTCTACAACTCCTAAACCTGCTTCACAAGTTTGCCTGCCGATTTTGTGAGAAAAATTTGTTGAAGTCCTTCCAAGTTTTTGAAGTTTTTAGTGCATGAAATTTTTGGGGTAGTTTAATTTTACATGTTTGTATCAATTCCTTAATATACATTTCAATAGCTGTTGTTGAGGATTTATCCTACCATCCATACTCTTAAGGCCAGGAAAGTAGAAAAAGGTTGAAGCATGGTTGTTGGAATCTCAACCTAGATGGTGATCTTGGTTCAGAGTCTCACTTTGGGTCTCCAGAAAAGGTATCTTTAAGGGATCTCAAGTTTTTTATTTTGGGATCTCAATCCCAGTTTTAGGGATCATGATCCCACCTCAAAGCTTAAGGCAACGGCCAAACTGATAATTTGCTTTATTTATAGCCAGTTAGCAATGGAACTATACTTTTAATATAGTTGCATTGCTTTTTGGTTCTAAATGAAGAGATTTATCATTAAAGGGTAAATAGAGTCGTAGACTATATATACTCTTTAAGGTTGGGATTTAGTCACCAAAAGATTGGAATCAAGATCCCCAAACGGTTGGGATCGAGATCCCTAACATTTGGGGATCTCTATTCCTAATATATGCATTGTATGTACAATAGTTCAAACCATAGGGATCTTCTAGCCTTTCACAATCCCCTCCTCCCGATCCCGATCCCCTTCTCAATCCCAACAAGTATGGGTTCAAGTAAATTGTGGCTTTGATGAAGAATTCACCCGCTTCAAAACTTGAGGATGAGTTTTCTCCAACCAAGGGAATCGAATGCAAGATAGGCTGATTCATAGTTTGTATTTTCTTTTTTAATTTCAGGGGTGTATTTTTGGATTTTTTTGGGTTTAAGTTTTAAGGTTTTTGAAGTTCTGTAGGGAATTTAGGGCTATTTTAGGAACTAGTTAGGTCGTTATGGAATTATTTATTTGTAAAGGGGTAAAAATTGTCATTTCATGTTCAATTGTAATGAGAGTTTGTTTTACATTTAGCATTAGCGTTTCTTGAGGGTCAAGTTAAGGTATTAGTGGGAGAGTTGGTATTATTTGTTTTGAGAGTTCTGGTTAGCGGAGATAGTTATGGCGTTTGGCTTATAAGCTTCCATCATAATTTTCAGTCTAGAAATAGAGGTCATTATAGGGTATTAGTGGGAGAGTTGGTATTATTTGTTTTGAGAGTTCTGGTTACCAGAGATAGTTATGACGTTTGGCTTATAAGCTTCCATCATAATTTTCAATCAAATTGTCAGTTCCTTGATTTTCTATGAATTCTCTCCTACATTATTTGGGCGACTCTACCAAGCCCAAGCCCGAGTTGGCTGAGTTTTAGGTTACCAGTTTTATGAGATCTTTGAACTAGATGCTTACATGATTTGGTCCAATGTTTTGCAAATGCATATGCCTGATAATCCTCGATCAGTGCAATATATTATCCAACGTTTATATGACAGTTACATTGTTGTGAGTATTTATTTGAGAAAGGGCGAAAAGGACTTATTCGTATTGGGATGCGAACCCAGCTTGTTGCTTCGTTGAACTTCCTACAGTATTAGAAAATGCCATTTATATGTCCAAATAATATACAACAATATTATTAAACCAAAAATTCAAGCAGTCTGGAAATGACATTTATACATGAAAATAGCGTAGAAAATTATAGTAAAACCAAAACCATTCAAGCACATCCTGAGTTTTTCATTTATGAAACTCTGGTTGAGTTGGCTTGGCAAGTTTTGTAAAGTCAAAAATGATTTTTTTTATTATTACTTTATTTCTAAAAGCCTTTTGTGCTAATTATTCTTTTTTATCGATAAATAGTAGAGATTATCTTCATGGTGCATGCATGTTTGTGATTAATACTTTCATTGCAATAATTTCTGGTATGTTTATTTTCTACCTGTTGTGTTTGAACCCAGGGTCTGATTCCAAGAGCAAAGCTGTTACTGACTCTCGGTGGAACTTTTTTTCTTGGTTTTTGGCCTCTAATTCTTGCGACAGTCGCTTTCTTTTCCGCTTTATATATTGTAAGACACATCTCAAGACCCTCTGCTTCTGACATATTTATAAGTTTAATGATTGTGAATGTAGAGATGCCATAATTGTCCAATGCAGTTTTCGAATGGTAAAAATGCGAGGCAATAAACTGGATACTTCTGAAATTTCTTTCAAACAATGAATAATAGGCTTATCTTCTCACATTATGGGTGAAAACCCGGGTTGCGTGAATGTCCTTGGAAATGGAATCTGGCCACATTATTTATATTTTGGGGGGATTCTTTTTTGTGTTTGAATATATTTAAGCTACTCTTATTTAGCGGGGTTTTGATAGGAATAGATGGTGAATATTAAATAGGAATGGATGGCTAGGATTTCTATGGAACTTTTTGGGTGTTTAGGTTTCAAATTTATTCGAATAGTTATGTTAAAGGGTTGAGAAGAGACTCGGATCATTCACTCTTGTTGTTGATTTCTTATACAAAGGAAAATTTGAAGCTTGTGATGCTTTTTTGTGTTAAATTCCTTCTCTAGCTACTCTAAAATGCAAAATTTTTTGTAAGTTGGTTTGGTTACTTGCATGCTGTTATAGTTTTTCAAGAATATAGTCCAGGCCTGCAGCAATTGGTTTCAGAGCAGGCCTTCCTATGGGATTTGAGTTGCAATTTGAACATTTTATTGCTAAGATGAGCTCTTACTCTAGATCAAGATGGATTTGCCTATTGTAACAAACCACTACCAAGTTCGAACAAGAACTAGACTAACTCATTCATGACGGCAGGCAGTAAGGCAGCACAGGAAGATACTGGGGATTGGATATGAAGAGTTCAAGATTGACTGTTAAGGAGAAAGATTCGCCACCAATCTGCTTCATCAATGAGGTGCCTTGGCACTAGTTGGTTTCTTTGATTATCATGGAGAACGTTCATTGCTATTATTCCTTTCACAAAATAAGGTCATAGATTGGAACTCCCTACCAATCTGTGATGTATCTCCAGATTATGATTTGGGTTTTGCGAAGATTTTGAGGAGAAAAGCGTCAATGGCGATATAGGAAATGATTTAAGTAGTTGAATTTGATATATTTGTATCAATTCCTCCGTCTACATATCTCGATTCATTTCATGAGGGATTCCGCTACTGTTTGAACTTCTAGAGCCAACAAAGAAGAAATTTGAAGGCTATGTATTTGACGCAGAACTCAACCCTCTTCAAAACTGGAGGACAAGTTTTCTCCAACCAGAGGAGATTGATGTATGCACGAAAAGGACCAAAGATGGATCCTAAAATTATGGGAATCAAAGGACTTCTTATATTTTCAGGAGCTACTTTTGCGACATTTTGTGACCTTTCGGGTAGTCACATATATTAGATTTTCTTTGTGTTTCTATTTTGTATTTAGTTTAGTATCTTTTTAAGTTGTTTTTATTTAGTAGGAGTTTTTATTTATTAGGATTCTGATGGGAAGAGATGGTGGAGATTTAATGGGAATGAATAGGACTTTGTAGGAACTTTTAGGGTTTTTAGGTTCAAATCTATAATAGTGGTGTTAGGAAGTTGAGAGGAGAATTGGATTATTTGCTCTTGCTATTGACTTTTTTGTGTGGAAGAAAATTTGAAGCTTGTGCTGCTTCTTTTGTGGTGAATTCCTTCTCTAGCTACTATGTACAAAGTTTTCTGTCTGTTGGTTTGATTACCTGCGTGGTTTGATATTTTTTCGAGAATAAAATGTCAAGGTCTGCATGAGTTTCTTTATTTTTTAGTAGCTTTCTGGATACCTGCACTTTAGATTTGCTTGGCAGTTCTGACTGTAAGAGCGTCATTTAGTATAGAAAGCTAGTGCCTACCTTGTCATAACTGTTACACATCACTAGAAAGCTGTATTCTTTCCTTATACATGGTTCTGTTCTTGATTTGTTTTCCCAGTTGTTGATAAGGCATGATTCCAACTCTCAAATGTAAAACATGTGTTTACGTTAAGGAGAGACTTCACCTTCCTTTCCATATCTCCACGGTTGTGCATTAGTGAATGCACCAAGCTGCACTCATTTCTTTGTTTCCAGGGGATCAAGATGGTACCTCTCTGGTACTATCAATGTTCTGTTGAAACTTGGGCTTTATTATTTCAGGGGTTTGCAGGAAAGCACATGGACTACTTCGCTGAGCGATGTAAATATCTGATGGCAGCAAGGGAAGGATATGGGCACAAGGATGCTAGGTAGGAGGGTAATGGGATAGAAAGGTGCCCGGTTCCCCTCCTATATAATGGAAATTCGTCCATGGTTGCATGGTGTTGATAAGATATTGGGTTTGACAAGGTATTGGGTTTGACTTCAATTTATGTTATTTGTGGCATGAAGAGGAAGGAAAGGCAGCTTGGGTTCAAAAATTTTCATTAACCTTCACTCTTCCTTCCAAGTTATGAAATGAAATTTGAAAGGCTTGTCCATGGAGGTGATTATAAGGGTGCTGAATGTGAAGTATTGGGGCCCCTCTATTGTGAAGTAGATAGTTGAGTTTATTTTGAATGAATCGAAGGACCTTGCTACATGGTGATCATGCGAGATACCATTAATGGATTCTCTAATACTGGGAGAAAATAACTGACAAGTTGGGGGAGTTGGAATATGCCGCAAGTGTGAAAATGAATTTGCATTAGATCTGCGTAAAAGCTGAGGTGAGCTTGAAACCAAGACTGGGAAAAGATTTCAGATACAGAGCATGATATTGAGTTTTCCGGAACTTTGGGGCGAGAGAAATTTGAAGTCGACCTATTACATATAACATGGGCAACAAAGAGACCATAGATAGAGAGGGAGGGAGAGAGAGATATTCTACTTATGGGGCTTGATTAGAGTGAAATAGAGAGCTTTATTTCTTTTGGAGTTTAGAGAGAGAAACACACAAAACATAGAGAGAGTTTTCTTCTTCTAAGAAAAGCGCAGTTCACAGAGAGACAAAGAAGGCCCGTTCTCCGTCGATAAAAAAGCATTTGGTGATGGAGAGTGGGGCTTCTTTTCAGGGGACAGAGAGAAACGTGGAAAAGTTTCCTTCTAGGGATTGAAGAGAAAGAAGTAATGGAAAGGTCTAAGAAAGAGTGACGCGAAGAGACCTTAGTAAAATTTCCTACAGACCCAAACAATTTAACACAAGAAAATAACATGCTAAGATTTTTCAATGCAGGGTAAAGAAACTTGCAAAGAAGAATTTAAAATTGTACATCAAAAGTGGCCCCAAAGTAGACAAACTTACATTATTAGTGGTGCCCAAGAATTTAAAATGGTGCCCGGCCGTAAAGTAGACAAACTTACATTATTAATGGTGCCCGTTGGTCACTGTTTGTGATTGATGAGGCTTAAAAGATCTGAAGCCACCATTTGTGGTGGCAAGAACCTTCAAGTTACGGGTAGTATTTGGTTCTCTGTTTCCTGAGATTTTTCATGGCTGCGGGCTTCTTTCTACATAGTTTTATACTTATGTAGATGTCATTTCCTTCGAGGCTTTCACGATAAGAGAATTCGATGTTGGAAGATGTTACTCCTGGTTGTGTTAGGATTACTTATAGATTTTAGTTTATATATATCAGTTGTTCCTTATTGTACTAACCATTTGAGACCAGTAAGCCTGAAATCGTATTCTAGTTTGGTCTACATTACTCTATTCTGTCCATGCTATGCATATTAACCAAATGTAGGTATCTCTAAGCGTGTGTTATTTGCAACATTTTATACCAATCCTGAACCCTCAAAAGTGTTATTTGCAGTATTTTGGACCCAGTTTTGTCCACGATGCAACGAAGACTCCTGTGCCTCCACCATATGTTGATCCCTATAAACTATTGGAGGATGAACGACTTTCTCGCTCGGATCATCTTGTGAATTGAATTGGAAATTGTATAAATTGGATTCCTTGAAATGTTGATATCAGCTCTATTTCTTTGGGCAATATTTTTTACTATTTGTGTAATATTCTCAGCATCTGTTACCTCTAGATATCCATGACGGAGTATAACTACCAGGATTTTGGTTTTTATCTTTCACTTCCTTTTGGTTGTTAATTGGCTGCCACGGCATGCATGTAATATGGTATCCAGTAGTCCATTCTTTCATGGATTCTACTGTTGTTAAAATTAAAATTCTTTGAGATAATTATTATTCTTGTCAGGTGGCGTAATTTTAGCAGAAATATTATGTGTTGACATTGGCATAATTTTAATGGAACTGTACTTGAGATAGGACATGCGCGCACACAGATATATTTGAGGCATAGCTGGTGTTACCTGAGTGATGCACGTTTTTTTTATTTGTTTCATGTTCGACACTTATGCATATGTTGACACTTGTAGATACGAGTTCGACACTCGGACTCTGTATGTTGGTGGATGACAATTTTTTTTAATACATGTCAGCACTTTTTATAGAATTGTCTTATATACCTTCAGCAGCAATGGTTAGTGGTTTGTGGTAGAGTGTAGCAACATGATGCGTAGGATTTGAATTTCCGGTGAGCATCTTTTTGTGGGTTTAATTTTTTTAAGTTTTTACATTAGTTTATATCAGACTAGTTTCAAATATATATTGAGAACCTACCAGTTCTTGTCAAAGAAACAATGATTCGGCCCGGTTTGGACCGGTGAACCAGTAGGGGCAATCCAACCCTTTCCTCTTTCAAAGCTGGTTATTTTTTTTTATAGATAATGGTTTGATAGGGCTGCATCCCTGTCAAAATAAGTAAAGCCTCATCTCATAACTCATCAAAAATTTCATTTCAAGCCTCATCTCATAACTCATCAAAAATTTCATTTCAAGTATTGAAAATCCTTTACATTGTTCATCTTGGCTTTCTAGAGCCATCATGGAGATATCTGTTGCCAAAAGTGCTTTCCGCACAAAGATTTGATAGGAGGCTTTTTTTAAGTTTTCATAAAGCGTACGTCTTATAGAAACTTCATCATCCTTTTTTTCTATTGAGGGAGCCCCACGCGGTTCCTTCTTTTTAAATCCTTTGAAATTTATACAATTTTTAAATTGAAAAGGGTTGGTCCCGACGTTGTGAAACCATGTGGAATTTCATGTCGCACGTGAAATTCCCAATGTTTTCTCTCTAAGTGCTGACTCGCCCCACCGACATTACTTCTAAAGTCTTCGATGTAACTACCATGCATAGTAAACCACGTTCAAGACAAAAAAAATAAAAAAAAACTGTAGCCATGGGTGCTTCTGCCTTTCTAAAGAGAGTGAGAAGAGACGGAAGGGCAGAACACTATAGTAAATGTCTGTTTAGAAATTTTTAAAGTTTAATTTGTATTTGATCAATTTAAAAATTTACTACGTTTGATCAGTTTTTCTTAAAATGAATTTGAGATTCACTTTGAGAGAGAAAGAGAGAGAAGAGGGGGCAATCATAAAACCACAATAAGAATCACAAAAATAGTCTCAAAATTTGCAAAAAAAGGAAAATTAAAATAGCATCAAAGATCACAATTATTATCATGAGATTAGTATAAAAAATCACTTTCTCCGTTGGTTCTTCACTAAAACTTACAAAATAAGTATCAGATTATGAAGAAAAAACGTATCACAATAAGTATATGAAAATTGATGTCAATAGACATCCAGAGCGAGATGACGTCTCAATACCACTTATTTTTAACAAAATAATGATAGTATGTAATGTATCAGCCGTATTTTTCTTGGAAACTAAAAAACATGCTTTTTAGTAATTTTTTTGAAACTTTTTAAAAGCTGAAACCAGCCAATTTTCCAATCCGGATCATTGGTCCACCGATCGGACTTAGTTTTCAGGGTGGCTGATCCGGGTCACCGATTCATGCTTTAAAACCTTGTGTTGAACACATGCAAAAATTATAGAAAGAGCTCATTTTTTATATTTAAAAATGGGGCTGCATACTATAAGACCATTTTTTATTGTCTTAATCATTTCTAGCTATTAAATGTCAAATTGGATGGCTAATGTCAAGATGTTCGAGAATTTTTTTTTTTTTTTTTGTATTTTGAGTTTAGTCAATGACACTCCTACAACCACTCAATTTAAAATCTAACGCACGAGCAGTTGTGACCTTTTTATACTAAAAGTAAATGGTCTCTTAAGAAAGGGGCTGGGGTCATAGTGGTAGCATCTCGACACCTAGTTACCACATCATAGTATCCATTCCTACCATGACACCTCCAATTAACACCTTCAAAATGTAACTCCCCAATCTATTGAAAATTTAGTAGGGGCTTGTCTTCCCCACGGAATTACGCAAAACAAAGTAAATGGTCTCTTTTTGTATTCCTTTCCTTTAAACATAACTCAGTATATTTTTCTACTGAATTGCTCACGTTTTAATTATTTCTTTTATCCAAATTACCCCTAGTTTGAACATCCAATGTCCACATGAGGGCCCTTTCCAAGTTTGGACAAACTCTCACACTTATGAATTTCTTTGAGTGAATAATTAGTTCACGCATCAAGCAATTGCCTTTTCTTCTTCTTTTTTAGTGAAAGAGTGGTTAGAACATTGAATATCCAAATCAGCTATATAACAAAAAGAATTGGTTGAGATATCAAATGCCCAAACTTTTTTTTTTCGTTTTTTAAGAAAGAGAAAGATTGGATGCCTGAAGAAGGGGTAAGTTGAAAAAAAATAAAAATAAAAATAAAAAATAAAATGGAAGAAAGAGTAAAGTGGGACTTAGTTTAAAACAAAAGGGTGCGGTTAGCATGCAGCCAATCCCACACATGTAAAAATGCGGGCTTGGTAATAGATGTATTTTTTAAATATAATTTAACCTTAATTTTTAAAGAACATATAATCTTTAATATGGAGATCATGAATATGAAAAAATAAATAAATTTTGAAAACTAGAAATAATAATTATATTAAGGAAACATTTGGACCATTTATTACAATTGTTTTTAGATAGACCACCTATTTGCATCCATCTTTAATATTGATGCTTTATACCTCTGGACCGAATATTGTACAAATGCGGTCTAACCTGTATGAAACAATTGTTCAAAACAAAATACAGGTACTAATATTTTATAGGAAAATTGTTTCATGGGGCTTGGACCCCATTTCGACATATGCGGTCCAGAAAGTGTAAAACATCCAACTTAAAAATGGGTGCAAGTAGGTGTTCCATCTAAAAACAATGTAAATTAACGGTCCAAATGCTTTCCTACTAAAATTATTATTTTTAATTTTTAAAATTTATTTATTTATTCATATTCATGACTTCATGTTAGATATTGCATGTCTTTAAAAATTATGTCTTAAAACCCAACTCAAAAATAGATTTATTAAGGGGCGTGTATTTCTAGCCGCATAGAAATATGGCCCTTTAAATAAACACGTAAGCCGCAAAAATTTGAGAGCCCAAATCTTGAAGAGGCGTTCACAATGAGTGGCGTGTTAAAGTGTATGAAAATTTGAAAGCGCATATCTTGAGGAGGTGTTCACAATGAGCGGCGTGCAAGTGTACGAAGATATACATATATTTTAGTATTTTTAGGAGTAATAAGTCTACGAGATCATGTAACACACATATAAGCATAAGGTCTCAATGCATCATCATTGGATTTTGATCCAAATCTAAAGATAAAAATATAATTTTACTTGCTAACTTGTTTTTGAAGCTTTAAATTTTATAATTAAAATTAAAATATATTTTAAGACTATCATAAAGATTTTTAGTATTGAAACCACATTTTTTGACACTACTTGAAGTTGCGCTCTACTTTGATTGTTTATAGCCTCGGCTTTATACATACCGTACCATTAAAAGATTATATTTTCCAGCTTTAAAGCACTTCTTAATTTAAAACAAACTTTTTAAAAACAAGGAGTGAGGAATGCCCCTTTATGGGTGACATGTGGCCCAATGGGCCCCATGCCCCACCCATGTATGGGTGGCACACATGTGGGGTTGGATCCAAAGGCCACATATGTTCCCTTCCTTATAAACAATATATCAAAAATACCCTTTTAAAAGATTTTACAGTACAAATAAATAAATAAATCTAAAAAAATGTCTAAAACTCACATAAACATTTTTTATACTGAAAATAAAATATATAGAAGTTGATAGGTACCAATAGATAAAAAACAAGTGACTATATAGGCACTCCACTTGACCTAGTGGCCATGATCCATAACTATCTTTTTAAACCGACCCAACTAGACCCATGACTCACAGCCTAATGCGGGGGCACGTGGTTGGCTCATTAAAGCCGATTAATAAATAGGGTACTCACAGTCTCATAATGTGTGGATTATAGTCCTTCTTTTAAGATCAAGTCAAGCACATATTACTACAGTGCAAGAGAACTTCCATGCACATGTACACATGTCCCTCTATATAGATGTTTCCTGTAAATGCAATTGTCATATATACATGATGTGCGAAATTTTTTTGAGAATTTTGTCATCTCTCTCACATGCTTATAATCGCATATAGAAAACAACATTATTCTCCTGACCTACAAATCATCCATCGGTATTTCTTTGACCTTAACAAGGGATAACGATCTATAAACCTTTTTTATAGCACCTCATGCCTAGAAATAAGGATTTTACACATGACTATGTCCATAGACCGCCTAATCTTTAGTCAGACAAACAATAGACACTCTCATTAAAGGGTCTAATCTAATATAAAGGTCTTTTTATATGCTCTCATGCCTTTAAAAGCCACAGATCCCAACTATACAAGCCTTTAATCAGCGAGGACATCTAGGGTGTGTAGTTCATTTTCTCGAAGTGGTTTGCTCATTGCATAGGAAGTTCCTTCAAATGCCAAAAGATTCCATGCTGGATGTAACCTAATCTCAATAAAAAGAAAATTTCAAGTCACTTGAAAAAAAAAAGTAACGTTTCAAGATTAAACAATTGCCGTTCGAGGGTAAAATCTAAGTGTAAGAAAAAAATTAAATATTCTCTTTTTGAAATAATCTAGTGATTCCCGCATGGTTTTCAAAATTTTAAATTAAAAAATCCTCCTTACTAGATGTATACAATTACTCACGGGAGCATAGTATATGTGCCCCATTCAAGTTAGGGTATTTTTTTCTTTTTGTAAGTGGGGAGAGGTATTATTTATTTTATTTTTTTATGAGTAAGTCGGGCGAGGTGCCCCATTCAAGTTAGGGTTTTTTTTTTTTTTTGTAAGTGGGGAGAGGTGCTCCATTCAAGTTAGGGTTTTTTTTTTTTGTGAGTAAATGGGGAGAGGTTCCATAAAAATTGAGCCTAGGACGTAGCGTTTCAAATCGTCAAGCACTTATCAATTATGCCCAGGCTTTTGGGTTTGGGCTCATGTCGAATATTTTTTATCTCACTTGCCCAATTATTCAGTAGGAGTAATTATTCTCTCTCCCTCTACGCAATAGAGACGATGGGACCAGGAGTATGTGTTTTTTTTTGTTTTTTTTTTTTTTCTTTTTTTTTTTCTCAAAACCATGACCTAATTAGAATCGCACATAGCTGATCAAATCGATATGTTTAGGTTATCCAAATCTTTTTATTTATTTATCCTTTTAAATGCTTATTGGCGAACTTAAAGCGCATCTATGTATATGTTAGCATATTTGGTTTGGAAAATGATAAGGCCGGGATGGGACCATTTGAGTAGTATGTGTTTTCTTTTTGTTTTTTTCTGTTTCTTTTTCTTTTTTTTTTTTTTTTCTCAAAACCATGACCTAATTAGAATCGCACATAGCTGATCAAATCGATGTGTTTAGGTTCTCCAAATCTTTTTATTTATTTATCCCTTTAAATACTTATTGGCGAACTTAAAGTGATCTATGTATATGTTAGTATTTTTGGTTTGGAAAATGATAGGCCGGGGGGACAACGAAAATGTGAGAAAGAATAACAGCTCCCTGAACTTACTTCAGATTTTCATAAGCGCATTTAGATGGTACAAAAATTTCAATTTATTACAAAAATAAGTAAAAAACATAGGTATTCTTAGCATATGGATGCTCAAATGGTGTATAGGCACCCTCCAGATTCAGATTAGAATGAAATAAAATGTCAGTCAAAATTATATTTAATATTTAAATTTTAATTATATTCTACAAATAGGACTTATATGAAATTTTCAAATGTGTGTGTGTGCAATATTTCGGTCCACATAATAAACTTAAAAAATAATTTGAGTAATGATACTATGAGACCCTCCTACACTCATGTGAGTAGGACTTCAAAGGATCACTATTAAATTTTGACATAGGTCTTTAGAAAAGTTATCAATAAACCCATTCACCCATGTTCCACACCCATGTGATAACTTTTCTAGAGATCTATGCCAAAATTTAATGGTGATCCTTTGGGGTCCTACTCACATGAATGTGAGAGGGTCTCATAGTGTTTACTCAAATAATTTAAAAAACTAAAAAATTGATTAAAATGCCCCCGCATGTTTTAGGAGAATTTTAGTCGATTTATTTTTCTAACAAATTACAATTTTCTATTTGGTTAACATGCGCCTCATTAAGGTGGGGATGCCCAAAATTTCAAGTTAATTCAAATTGGGAAAAAAATAAAATTCAAAATAGGCTGTCTTTTTTGTTTCCTTTAAAATCTAGAAGATGAGACACAATGAGGTGGATGCTATCCTCTTCCTTTTAACAATTACTTGAAAATAAGCAAACTAATGGGGTTTTTTGTGTTTCTTAAATCGGGTTTGGGCATGAGTAGTTAGTAGCTAACATTTAACAGCTACATCTCAAGTTCAATTCCTACCACTAAACTACCAAAAAAAAATAATGTTGGTATTTGTTACGACACAGGGTGACCAACAAAAAATTATATATATGTATATATAACTGAGATATATCCTGCTCACTATAGAATATATTGTACCATCACCTCAGCAACCATATGAGTGGATGCTCAGTAGGGGGAATGGAACGATATGCTCTGTTGTGGGCATCGTATATTCCCCAAAGAGATATGGGCTACCAGTCTTTTGACTGTAAAGGCACAATTGTGGGTCACCCGTATTTTCTGTCTTGATGCTCTACTCTTCTAATCGTTGTTATTCATTATAACAAGAAATATGCCACACTAAAACAAACACTATTACTGTGGCATTCCTAATTTTGTCCATAATTTTTCTCTTCCTCCAATTCAACAAAATAATTGTGGGTTACTGATATAGATTTATTTTTTCGAATTACTTATTACTAAAAAAAATTCCTTTTATCGATCAATTATAATCATCTAAAATTGGTAAGATTACACCAAAAGTATATTGTGAGCATGTAGATTTTTGGTTCTTACTATTTTGTTCATTTTGACATTAAGATTTCCCAAACCGTACTTGATCATCGTAGAAATTGCAAATCGATCAGACACCCACATGTTGATATCTATAACTATCTATATTTAGGAATATACAAGGAGATCACAATTACTCCTAACCATAGATATACGAATTGGATGTTTTGGGTATCTTATAAAGTTCAAGAATTATCTTTTATGGAGTATGAGTATAATAAATGACACACTCACAACCACCCAATTTAAAATCTGAGGAACGTCAATCATTGTGACTTCCTCATACAAAAATTAAATGGTCTCTTTGTATGAACAATGATCCAATACAATGGTTGTATCATAATATAATGCAATGGCACTTCTAGAAAACCATGTTTGTGGTATTTGTATGACCCCAAATTTTAAATACACATTCTCTTTATCTCAATAATCAATCTCCAAAAAAAAATAAATTAATTTGAACCCTAGATATGATCAAAATGAATCCCCTCCAAAAACGAATCTAGACCATTCATTTTGTGCCTCTCTTTATAGAGCAATGATCCAATACAACAGTTGTATCATAGTTTAAAGCAACGACACATAGAAAATTATGTTTCTGGCATTTGTATGACCCCAAATTTTGCACACACACTCTCTTCATCTCAATAATCAATCCCTCTCAATAAAAAAAAATTCAATTTGAACCTTAGATATATTCAAAATGTGTCCTTTCCGAAAACGAATCTAGACCATTTATTTTTTGAATTTCAAGATCTTAGCTTTTATAAACTCAAAATCATTTTTTTTTTCTTTTTTAACATTGTTCATCTAATTATAATAAAACCATCCAAAAAAATTGAAAATGAAAAAATCCTTTTAAGGCCTAAATCTAGACATCTCACCAAAATGTACGGCCTATGTTAATTGGCCTAAAAGAATACTTTTTAGATTGTGTTTTCATTTTTTTTTTTTTTGTAATTGTTTATTAGAATGAAAAGAGTGTACATTTCAAATTTTGGATCAAACAAATAGCCATAAAATTTTTAAGGTTGTTGCATCATATTACTATACAACGATTGCATGAAATCATTACCCCTCTTTGTATACTTCTCCATATGCAAGAAGAAACTCATCATTATATTCTTACTAAGAAAAATAAAAACTTGAGCTTGTTCAATTCCTACCACTTAACTACCCAAAAAAACAAAAAACAAAAAAACAAAAAAAAAAACAAAAGGGAGAGCCATATATTTGGTTATTTTTCTTCTTTTCCATTTAAGCACAGCTGTAGCACATGGAACTTCTCTGGGTCAACCATTGTACTAATGTTACTGCTAAAGGATGCTAAACTTGAGGTCCTGATGCATCTGTGCCTATTTGGCTGCATCACCAATGTCTTGAGCATAACTTTGCAGCTTGAATATCCATGTGAAGGAAAAGCAAAACCTGAAAAGAAGAAGAAGAAAATCATAAAAAACTATTCACTCCACATTTATGAAGCATTCCTGGATTACATAATTCTTATGCTTACAGTGCTTACATTTTTCTTGGCTCTGGTAGATGAAGAATTGTTCAGAGGAAGCTTAGAAAACTAAAGTAAGATGAACGTCGATGTCATGCGAGGCCTCGAATGCTTCGGATAACTGAAATCAGCAATTTGTCCCCCGCAATCGATCGAATTTTCCTTATAAGGACATCTTTCCTGACCTTTCCGGCCTAAATAACCACAGAGCACGTACTACTTAAGTAATTGAGAGAGAGAGAGAGAGAGATGACTTAGGCAACTCATGGTGATTCCAAATAGAACCCAGTGATAGGGAAAGGACCAAATAATAAAGCAAAAAGTTTATATCAAGTGTCAATCTTATACTATGGAAGTACGGCACGCCTCAAACATCCATCGAACAATTATTCTAATGCTGAAAAACCCTAGAATTGATCATCTAGACCTCTAGATATAAGGATATAGAAAATAAATTGAAGTCCAAAAAATAGTTTATCTTGTAACACATGATCTATTTTCAAAATTTTTTAAGTGTTTATAGGTCGGCTTCATTTCCACAATTTTTTTCAGTTTAAAATTTCATAATTAGATGAGATAGATTTTCAGATCATCATTGAAATTTTTTACACTAAAATTACATCTTTTGACGACATCTGAAATTATGTACACCTTACTTTGATTGTTTAAGGTTGAGACCTTATGCAAACCACATCCAATAATAAATAAATTGTAAGATACGTGTTACCTTATACTCTATGTACAAACGCTGCAATGCCTGAGTTGTAGAGGAAGGCAAGAATTTCTCCATGGCAGACAAGAGTTTAGGAAATGACATAGTGGAGCATGGCCTTCTTTTCATTCCCTCACCATCACCAGATGAACCCTGTACCAACCCCAAAAATGCTTTTTTATCTTTTATTTTTCTGCATTTGGGAATAAAATAAACAGCAAAAATCTATCATAGAAGAAGACAAACTTAACCTTTCCAAGCCTATATATTATGTTAAATGATTATTATCAATAAACACATAGTTGAATAAACAAAAGATATGAAAGATGTGTTTGACAAAGAAAATCTTAGCTACCTTAGTTTAGAGGTCATCAGAAATCCATCTCTATTTCCATTAATTGGTTTAATAAGGAATAGAGAATTGTAAACCAACTTTAGCTTTAAGATGATGAATAACTTGAAGAAACAATGTGAACTTTTAAAAATACTTAAGAGAACAAGAGAAAATTGATATAATTGCATTAAGCCTGTTAAATAACCAGAAAGAGGAAATTATGATCAATAAATCGTACCTTTGGAGATGCCGCAGTTTCTCTCCTATGCAAATCAGTCTCAGGTTGGTATGAACTTGTAACTTCCAAACAATCAGAAGCTTTTTGTGCATACCCAACTTCTTCATTTCTCAAAATCTTCCCTTTTGTTGCTGAAATCTCAACAGAAGACCCCATGTCATCGGATTTTCGAGCACTCGATCCCTCTGCATTTACCAACCTAAAATCGCTCTCTGGTTTAATATGTGGAGGTAGAAAATCACAGTCTGTTATATCCTCTGTTATCAAGAATTTAGGAAAGAAACACTGGTTGTTGATGTCAATCCAAGCAATGGACCTTTGTCTACATGCCCTTAAATCGATCTGCAGCATACGAAGAAAATCAACAAGGTAATTTGAGCCCTGAATTGTCAATTCCACCATGGGTTTTCCAGCCATGAATCCACCTCTCAAAGACCCAAAAGCTTCATCAGAGAAATCACTCCAATTACCTCTACAGAAGAACATCAACCTCGAAGGAGGCCCACTATTTCTGAAATTCCAATAGTTCTGTAGCAGAGCTTGGCCAAAACAACAATGGAGACCATTGAATCGGCAACTTTTGAAGTTGGGTTTCTTAGATTTTAGACCAACAGATTCTGAATTAACAGATTGGGGAGATTTCTTTGTGAAATTTTTCACCCTGGTCATAAACTCTGCTTCCTCTCTCTTCAAACCCAGAGTTCTGAGAAATCCTGTCTCCTTCATCACCATCTAAAGCTCAATGTTCAGGAATTCAATGAAATATGAAAAACCAACGATCAAACAAGGTCCAGGAGAGAAAAGCCAATAAAGTTTCAGAAAAGTTATCTAAGTTCTTAGTATCTGCGCCAAAAAGCCATGACAAAACTTCAAGAAACCAGATTTTTTTTTTTAAAGTTCAAAAAAAAAGAAATCAGATTTTTGAAACTCAACGTCCAAATCTGCAAGGCTCTGAACGGGTATATATCCGTGTACGGTCTCTGTAGAGAGAGAGAAAGAGAGAGACAGAGAGGGAGAGAGAGACTCAAAATCAGGGATACAAAAGACTTGCAAGTTACAGAGATATTTATAGTTAGTGAGCGAAACGCAAGATCTTAATTGCGTGCGTGCAACCTTTGACGTGAAGTTTTGGGCTTTTGGGGTTATCGAAATCCCAAATACGTGTGCGACTGCTTATGTGTAAAGACGACAATTTAGGGTTTACTTTTAATAGAAACCCAACATTGAGTGGTGGTTGACCGAAACTTAACAGTGAAGTAACTGCCCAAATTGAGTTTTATATGTAGCACTCATCAAAGAACCTGGTTTTCTTGGCTAAATTTTTAAAGGAAAAAAATTTATTAGTAACTTTGTTGTTGATCTAGATAGCTTTTTTTTTTTCCTTTTTTTTGTAAGTTGATAGGT